TTTTCTGTCAGTTTTATTGCTAGTCCCTACAATCAAATTTTACCTTATGCTGTTTTTGTTTCACATTTTTGGTATAGTGCATTATTCATTTTATAAGTTTGCTGTTTTCAAGCTGAATTAATTGTTTGGCATCTGATACTGTACTGGTAAAGCAGTAAGCAGACCTTGAAAGAGTTAGTAAAAGCATGCCAATAAATAATAAATAACCTATAATTTTTATTGTGACTTTTTCAGGAATATAGTTTGGTAAACTATAGCCATCACCTTGAAAAAAATTGCTTACCTCTTGTTTAAACATTCATAAATATTAACATAATCTGGGTGTTTTGTGCTTGACAACAAGTAGACCTCAACTTACAACCATAATTGAGCTGGAATTATGATAAGGAGTCATGGTGATCATTAAGTGTCTGATTTTGTGATGTCTTTTGTGGTGATTGTTAAGTGATTCACCATGGTTATTAAGTGAACACAGCAGTCTTAAGTAAATCTATTGTCTGCAATGAGTGTCTTTTGCTGGAAACCAGAAATCAACATTGGTTTCCAGCAAAAAACAAAACAAAAACAAAACATTGTAAATCATGGTAACATGAGTGTGGGACACTGAAAACAGCTGTAAACGTGGGCAGTTACCAATCACCCAAAATGTGATCATGTGACTGAGGAGAGGGGGGAGCAGTCACCAGAACTTCAAATTTAGGACATAAATAGCCCTGAGGAGGTCCATCATGACTTTGAATGGTTGCTAAGTGACGCCGTAAGTTGAAGACTACCTGTATTCTGAAGATTTTTTTCCCAGATAATGTTGTCTCATAGAGGTCTCAACATGAACAGCTCCTCCTTCCTCTAAGTTACGCCGGATGCAGTTTTGAGCAATTGATCTTCATGGCTACAGAATGATTTTGTGTAGTGGAGAGTGTTTGCACACAAAGAAGTGCTTCCATAGGAGACTAGAGTGGGAAGGGATGTTTACTCACATATTGAGATGCCTACACTAAAGTATCACCTGAATCCATAAAACTGAGTAATATTTCATTACTGACTTAGCATTCCTGGCTAACATTAATTATAAAAGTGATAAAAATAGAGAAATGCAATTTAGTAAAAAACATGTAAGATAATAATTTAGCAGAATGTTCACAGTTATTGTAGTTGCAGCAAATATCTTAAGCATAACAGAAAAAGGCATTTTAAAAGCAAATTATCAGGCTCAGTTAATTCTAGTCATTTCTTCCTCTTTTGCCCAGCATTCAGTGCTTTTTATTCACAAGAGGGAGAGACTGTGATCTTCAATCACTATTAGTCTCCCGTTAGCTTGGCCAACTATGAGGGATGATGAAAACCCAAGAAACTGAGAGGGTTAGAAGATGATCTATATAATGTGATTCAATGGCCCTTCTTTCTCCTTCCAGTCAGATGTGCTGAAATGCTCCAGAATTATTATTTGTGTGATGGGAAGCCCATGGCAAATCAAGCAGAATTGGAGTAAAGAATGGAGAAAAGGAGAGAAAGGAAAGATATGTGTTGCAGACAATGTAGACTCCTTCTGAAAACAAGATATTAAAAGGTCAGGACATGACAAAATAAACTGTATCCTAAGTAAATTAAATAAAGTATCAGATAGATCCAATTAATGAAAGTCCTTTCATTAATTGAGGAAAGACCTTTTTGGTATTCTATTCATTATATCAATACTATTAGAGCACACCATAGATCATTCCATCTATTGAACTTGCTTAGATATAATCTTCGTTGTTGGATAATTTAGGTATAGCTATAAATAATAAAAAAAATTAGTAGCCTAAGGAGATTTCCCTGAAGAAAATTTCTTAGCTTCAGGATATTAAAATTGTGTTTCAGTCAAGTCATATTTTATCATTCAGCATATTGCCTGGTAACAATTTAATAATGAGCTCGAAAGATCTAAGGGAACTTTTGATTCCAGTAAAACAAAAGCATATTTATCTTTCCACCTCCACCTCTATACCGCTATCTCCACTGCTTATTTAAGACTCAGTTATGTAAAATATTTATTTTGTGCTTCTAAATATAACCCAGATAACTCTGATAAGGCAGGAAACATCCTTTCATATTTTTTTTAAAAAGTCTTCTATGAAGTGATAATTATAGGTAGTCCTTAACTTATGACCACAATTGAGCCCAAAATTTCTGCTACTAAGTGAAACATTTGTTAAATGAGTTTGCTCCATTTTATGACCTTTCTTGGCACAGTTGTTAAGTGAATCATTGCAGTTGTTAACTTAGTAACACGGCTGTTAAGTAAATCTGCTTTCCCCATTGACTTTGCTTGTCAGAAAGTCACAGAAGCTGATCATATGGCCCCAGGACACTGCAAACGTCATAAATATGAGTCAGTTGCCAAGCATCGGAATTTTGATCATGTGACCAAGGGGATACTGCAATGGTCATAAATGTACAAAACGGTCATAAGTCATTTTTTTCAGTGCCGTTGTAACTTTGAAAGGTCACTAAATGAACTGTTGTAAATCGAGGATTACCTATACAAATAGGAAAGGGAAATGTTGCACAGATTGGAAAAAGGCTCATGAAAATGGATCTATTTTTAGATCCTTAGAAAGCAGTAGTTTTATTTGTTGTAGATATGCCTCAAAGGAAGAGTGAGAGAGTATATCAATTTGCACAAGAATTAGTATCTAATGCAAAAAGGGTCAGAGTCACTAATTTTATCTTTTATTGTGAGATCTTTAGGCTTTCAATTTTGTTTCCACATAGGCAGGTTCTAGTCTGGTAATAGGGACATCTTATGGGAAGATTTGCTTTACATTTAATGAAACATGACCATTTCAGCAAGAGCTATTTGTGTAATTATATAAACATGTGTAATTTGAATCTGCACACAACAGGCAACCCTACAGTTTTCTATCCATCAGTTGCTGTGGTGATCAAGTTGTTTATGATATTCAAGATGATCTGTTTTGTAAGTTGACTGATTCAGTAACAGTTGTAAGATTTACCCATTGGGCATATATGCAAAGGGAACAGCTACCAGTCTTAGCAATTAAAGGTATATTTTGTGAAGTTGTGTACCAGAAGGGATTTCAAAAACCAAAATCCCTTCCCCAATCTCCTGTGCAAATTCTGCTTCATGTAGACTGTTCAAAACGGCACTTTAGGATTAAAACAATGTCTTAATTTAATGCATTTTTAACATGATCCATATGAAAAAATATAGTATTTCTGATGACCAAGCGCCTAGCTATTACAAAACTAAATCTGTGAAATTATTTTTATAATCTATTATTTGGGGAGTGTCTCCTTGCTGTTTATTTACTATAACAGAAATTGCAGGAAGAGAACAATGCATGCTGATTCAGAAATCCATAAACCATATGTGGAAGATAGAAAGACTTTTCCTCTATTGCAATATTAATCCAAAGGAAATTGTCACATAGGGGGATTGCACATTGTTCATAATGGCAACAATTAACATTGTCATGGTATCAACTTTTTTTTTTTAAAAAAACCTGACATTTATTGTTTTATTTGACAATAAACTAGATTTTAGAGCTGCAACAAACCTCAGCATAAATTATGTCCTCATATACTCACCATAGATATATAGTCTTGGGACCATGTTGATTCAAAATATAGGAGAAATGGCCCACTTGGAATTAAGGTCCAGAGAAATCAGGTATAAAACAAGGAAGCTAGTTTTCTGGTCAAAGCATCTACTTGTTCAATGCAGTTCATGCTACTATTTTCTTTAGACTCATGTAGCTGTTTTTGTCCCACCCAAAAAAGTAAAAAGAAAAAGAAATATTGCATCCTAATTATATCTAATTTAGAAATGGTTACTGTCATTAAAATGCAAATATGATGCACTGTACTATAATGGGAAAACAACTAATAGAAGACCTACATCCTGTCCAATTTGTTGTATAAATAAACTATTGATAGGCAGTTTCTAGGCTTTTGCTCTTCTTTCTTCTTTACTTTTGAACTATGTTTAAACTGTCTTTAACTGAAAGATAAAAGGAAGAGTTTCCTTTGACAGCCATCAAGTAACTGAACAGATGATCATTTTAATAAGCCATCAAGTTGGTTTCTTATTAACCAAATGCAAAACACATTTTAACTTATTTATTGAAACTATTTATATAGCTGCCCATCTCATGACAATGACTCTAGCACTAGACAGAGGATTACAACAACACAAAAAACTCAAGAACAGCTATGGAACCTAAATAATAATAAGCAGAAGATTCAGTTGGAAAATAATATCAGCATACTAAGATCAGATGTAAGCAAGCTAGAAGAGATGAAAGAAAACAGTTTGAAGAACAAGAAGACCAAAGAATAACTGATCAAGAAATATCACCTAGAAATAAGCAGGACCAAGGAAGCACTGAAAATAATAAAGCAGCAAATAAGATCATATAGTCAATAAGATCATCAGATCATCAAATACATGGATTAAATTGCAAATTATAGACAGACTCTCCAATTTCATTTGAATCAGAAACATTTCTACCAGTCTATCCATGGAGATGCTGCAATGAACCAGTCAACACCTAAGAAAGAAGAAATAGTGCAATTCTTGGTGCAACTATGGGACAACCCAAAGAAAAGAAGAAACAGGCGCAACATAATAGCAGTATTCCAGTATTTGAGGGGCTGCCACCAAGAAGAGAGGGTCAAAGTATTCTCCAAAGCACCAGAGGGCAGGACAAGAAGCAATGGTTGGAAATTGTCCAAAGAGAGAAGCAACTTGAAATTAAGGAAAAACTACCTGACAGTGAGGACAATTAATCAGTGGAACAGCTTGCCTCCAGAAATCATGGGCACTCCATCACTGGAGGTTTTTAAGAAGAGACTAGACAGTCACTTGTCTGAGATGGTATAGGTTCTCCTGCTCAAGCAGGGGGCTGGACTAGAAGACCTCAAAGGTTCTATTCTATTCTATTCTATTCTATTCTATTCTATTCTATTCTATTCTATTCTGTTCTAAATATATGGAGATGGGTAAGAATGAGAAAGAAGCTGAAATGAAAGAACTTGTAACAATAGCAGTAAAGGTGAAGAAAAAGGCAAAAACATCAAGAATTGGTCAGTCCAGATGAAGTACTGCATGGTTTTTTTTAATTGAAACATCTGACTGGTCTACACTCACTCAGTGCCAAAGAGTGCATTGTACAGAGGTGAAAATGAAGATTGACTCACATCAGGTAAAACCTATGAGATCATGAAAGATCCAACAAAGAGGGCAGCACCAGGCAACTATAGACCAATTATGTGCTTACTAACAACTTTCAAATTGCCAACTCTTGTGATAGCTGATGCAGTCCAACATCTATTTGAAAACAAGCTATTTTCATATGAGCAGAAAGGAAACTGCCCAAACAGCATAGGAACAAAAGATCAGCTCCTAATTGACAAGATGATTTTGGAAAACTGCAAGACAAGGAAGACCAACTTGAATTAACCTGGATCACTATAATCATTTAACTCCCTTCCAGATGATTGGATAATCAATGCCCAGAAATAACAGGACTTAGTAAAAACATCAGAAGTTTTGTGCAAAGATTGATAGCACAATGGAAGACACAGTTGCTGGCTAATGATAATAGATTAGTAGAGGTTAATATTAAGAGAGGAATCTTTCAAGGACACTCACTTTCACTACACAGTTGTTATTGCATTGATTCCTTTGTCAACAATACTAAACAAGTCAGGGCATGGCTATCAAACATAAAAAATATCTGCCAGGCTATTCCACCTCCTTTATATAAAGCTGTAAGAAAAAATATCTGAAATAAAATTACTGCTCAACATTGTCCATATATACCACCAAGATATTGCAATGGAGTTTGGATTGGATAAATGTGCCACCCTTATCATCAAGAGAGAAAAATAGTGAAAACTGAAGGAATCAAGATGCCATTTGGAAATATCATCAAGATTCTGGATGAAGTCCCAAAGATGCATTTTCACAAGGCAACTGGACTTTCTTGTTTTTCTTTGAAGATGTTTCACTTCTCATCCATGAAGCTTCTTTAGCTCTGGCTGGATAGTGGGGAGTGGAAGGATTTATACTCCTTGCAGACAGCTGGTCATTTGCATTCTTTTAGAGAGTTACTGAGGTCATCTGGAGGTTTATCTGTATCATTAGGGTCACCTGAGTAATGCAAATGGGTGCAGAGCCTTCTTGGAACTGTTGAAAGAACTGTTGTAAACTGGTGATAGATGATGTTGCATCCCTCCCCTTCTGCTGAGAAAGGGCTGTTCAATTTTGACATATGTGGCCTCTTTGACCCCTCTTTCATACCAGCAGTCCTCTCTGTCCGAAATGTGGACTTTGCTGTTTTTGAAAGATAGGCCTTTGTCTTTTAAATGCATATGGACTGCTGAATCTTGTCCTGATGGGTTTGTTCTCCTGTGTTTATGAGGTGGTTGTTTTGTTTCCCCAATATACAGATATGCACATGGCTCACTGCATATCACATTGCTCAGTTTGTATCCTTGGGGTGGACAAGCTTCTGCCTTAATTGTATTCTTGGGTTTGAAGTGTGCATGCACGTTGTGTTGGTTGAAGATCCTCCTAAACTTTTCCAATATTCCTGCAATGTATGGAATGGCTACATTGCTTTTTTTTTCTTCTTTGTCTGTTGTGGAGTCACTCCTGCTGGATTTTCTGGGGGGATTTGATGAAGACCCACTTGGGATAGCCATAAGTTCTAAGGGCTTCCTTGATGTGTTTTAGTTCTTTTTCTTTCCCATCTTTGCTGGTAGACAGGCCTTTAGCTCGGTGGTGTAGGGTTCTGATAACTTCTGTTTTGTTCTTCAGTGGGTGATGAGAATCAAAATGTAAATATTGATCTGTGTATGTGGGTTTTCTGTAAACTTCAATGTTAAGGGTTCTGTCTTCCTTAATGTATACTGCACAGAGTATACATTTAACATCTTCCTATGTGAATTTGATGTATCTGTCACAGAGTTGATATGCTTGGTGAATACTTCCAATTCCTGTGTTTCGATCTTGACCCAAGTATCGTCCACATAATTATACCAGTGAAAAAGCATCTTTGAGACAACTATGACCTGGATGACTGAGAATCTCCATAGACATTATGAAGATCATTACAAATACATCAAGCTGACAACTTCAAGCACACAAGTCAAGAAAAAGATTAGGAACATTAATATGCTAGGAAGAAAAAAAATCAACAGTGTGCTGATAATATTTGATTAAGCACTGTGATCTGGGGCTAAGCTGGAAAAAAGTTTTGTTCCAACAAATGCTTGAGCACTATTGGTAGGTTGAATAACCTTTATTTGGTAAAACTCAAGGTGTCATAACAACTCTAAAAGATGAGTTGGGCTCTAAGCAATTTTAGTTTTAGTGGAATTTTATTTGGGTATATATTTTAAAGTATATGTTAATGTTGATTTGGGAAATTGTATTTTATATTTTCTCTGTTGTTTGTTGTAAACCACTTTGAATCTGTCTTGATATACTGTATAAATAACGAAAATCACTTATTTATTAACTCAACCTTCATTATTTCTACTATAGTTATAACACTTGGAAAAGAGAAACTAACCCAAAGACTTGCTAACCAAGGAATGGTAAGTTGTAAATGCACATCCAAAGTTGGACATAGGAACATAAATTCTGAAGCAAAAGTTTTATTTACTACTACAGTCACTGCATAGATGTCATCTGGGTCTTAGATCCACTTTCTAAATAAACATCACAATGTCTCTGGTTTAATAGGTGATTATAGAAGCAGAAACAGTTGTTGGAGTTGCTCATACAGTTTTGGACTAAGTGGAAGGCTTGCAAACAAGCAAAGGAAGACTTCCAGGTTAAATATAATATTAAAAAGGGAGGGGGAGATCAAGGCATGCATACAGAAAAATTAATTAATTGACTTTAAGTTGCAGTGTTAGGCACACTAACAAAAAGTAAATCTTGCTGTAGAAAAATGAGACCTGAATCTAAGGTTGAAGGAACAGGATGGTGTTGCTTGTAAAATCTCCCCCCCCCAATTTCAGTTAGACAATAGAATTCATTAATGAAAAATATATGTTTTCATTTGTTCATTGCAGAATATGTACTTACATGTATGGATATATTGTGAGAAGTCATAATAAAGTTCTATTGCATGCTTATATTTGCTTAAAATCCATTTCTGGCTGTGAATAATGTATTCTGTATCATGAAAGGCCATATCAGATTTTTCTACTGCATTTCTGACTCAATTGCAGCCATTTACAACACCGAATGAACATAACTCTAAGACATTTCAGCCATAACAATAGAAGTATACATTCTATACAGTTTGAATATACAGTAAGTGCTGTATATCACATTATGAATCTGGACTCAATAGCTTAATGGTACCACTAAATAAATTATTCTGCCCTCTGGAGAGAATCAGTTACAATAACTTTAAAGTTAAAATTATATTTTTGTAAAGAAATCAAGCATTTTTGCCTAAAGCACAAACACCTGATGATCAAGCCAGTTCCTGTACCCTCTGACAGGTGTTCTCTAATCTCTTTCCTGTTAAAAAAGAAGAAAAAGTAGAGTTGAAATAATGTTGGATTTTTCTATATGCTTATATAAAATTGGAAACCTTTCCTTTAAGCAATTTTTTTTGTTCCAGGAATGGAATGTCAAATGTATAAATTACTTGCAGTGTTATTCATTTATAGGGATCTGTTTTAAAGGTTGCATCCAAGGGACTTGCAGGTAGAAGTCAATTTTTGCCCATCAACCATATATTGAAAGAAAAAAAATAATAACATAAATTTATACCACAACCTTCAAACTGACTCTTCAAATTGTAAATCAAACTCAAGTTGAATCCCAACTTTTGACAGACTTTCCAGGGGAAACAAATTTCCTTTCCCTACAGGAAAATGGTTCAAATGTGCAAAGGATATCTACTTTACAAGTTATCGAAATGATAACCAGCAGCATTTTTGGAAAACCCATCAGATAATCCTTTTTTGATTGTAGGAACATTTCTCATTGTTCATTCTAAATGGATTTAAATGTCCCAAGAAAATCTTAATTTCCCTATTTTTGAAATAATTTAATAATCTACAGGAAACATTTGTCTATGCTAAAAAGTGGTTTATTAAATTTTGCAGGAGGCAATTGTGATGTCCTGTGCAGGACATTTAGTATGGAATCTGATTGGCTATTAGCATGATTTGATGAACATTTGTAGATCCAGACTATTGTCATGATTTGTGTAATAAATATCAATATCATTAATATTAGTCATATTTGATTTAGAAGAAATTGCACGACTTATGCCTAGTATACATTCTTTTTAGTGTGTGCTTCTGCAAATATTGCCCCCCAAAATATCAAAAAACCTGTGAAAATATAACAAAAATAAAATGCTTAAAATCTAGAAGTCAGAATTTCTCAACAAAATGCTTTTCATAGATTAAACAGATAAAAACCTCTATTATAATAAAGGCTTTATTATTTAAGGTTAGTTTTGGTAAAACAAACTAACTTCCTGTCTGTAAACTGTATTTCTAGAGATGTAGGAAACATACATGGACATGGAAAAATGTTTATTATGTCATAAATGTAAGAAAATTAATTTTCAGAGTTATTCTGTTTATTTTATTATGTTATCAAGATTTCAACAAATGAAAGTAACGTTTAAGTATGAACCAGCAGTATGCTGCAGCTGCCAAAAGGGCTAATGCAGTCCTAGGCTGCATCAACAAAGGGGTAGTATCAAGATTACATGAACTGTTAGTATCACTTTATGCTACGCTAGTAAGACCACACTTGGAACACCGCATCCAGTTTTGGTCACCATGATACAAAACAGATGTTGAGACTCTAGAAAGAGTGCCGAGAAGAACAACAAAGATGATTAAGATTATGGGACTGGAGGATAAACTGTACAATCAACAACTGCAGGAATAGGAAATGCCTAGTCTAACAAAAAGGACTATGGGTAGCAGGATAGTGATTTCCCAATGTTTGACAGAGAGAAGGGGGTCAATGTTTTCCCCAAAGCACCTGAAGGCAAGACAAGAAGTAATGGATGGAAGCTTAACAAAGAGAGATC